TTTTTTTTTTCAAGTGTTATGTCAAAAACCCTTGCTCCCAGCTACCACAAAATGTACTGTGAACTGATAAAACGATGCACACGATTAGTGCCAGTACAGGCATAGATTGGTTAAGATTAGCCCATCATATCTTTTCTTGTATTTCTTGAAACAGTCATCGCTAATGAACATTATTACACGACTCGGGCAGTCAGAGGGCCAATAACTAAAATCAACCAATCAAAATGCTCTATTGCCGGTCCAATATTCTCTAAGTATTGGACCGGGCACTGTCCCGAATGGTCCCGAATGATACCACACTTGTGTCCCTTTGAACTTCAGTCGTATAATAAATCTCTTATTAACCAAGCTTGCTTGGGACCGTACTGGAAGAATATCAGCCCTTGGTCTTTTTGGTACGGACCTCGGGCTGATATTCTCCCAGTACGGCCCTTGCACTTGGTTAATAAGATATATAAAGCATACTGGACTTTGGATTAAATCATTCAGGCTTGAATCCTGCTACATACAGATTCACTTGAAATTTATTTATTTATTGGCAATGCTTATATAGGATAGCTCAGTTCAGCTTAAAGCTGGTTTAATTAAAAGGGGGTCTTTTGTCATTTTTTTTAGAGGAGACACCTACAATATGTTATGTCACTTTGTCTTTCCCCATCAAGGATATTTTTTAATAATAGATTTTCAGCAGACATACAAGAAAACCTAGTTACCAAGGTATAATGTCACACCTTATTTCTTTTAAATAGCATAAGGAAAAAATGTATGCATATATGGCATTTCAAGAGCAAAGGGATCTCAAGAATGCAAAGTTTGCAATTATAGCTAACTGTGGGTGTTTTTTCTGCAGGAGTTGCGACATTTTGCCGTGACAAAGTGACACCCATAGCGGCCGAGGAGGGTCTTTCATCTTTCCTTACCCCTCAGGAATCTATCGGGTGTTACGGCAGAAACACTGACTTCTCACCTGATGAGTTAGAAGCTCTGGATAGTGAGGGTCGTGCCATACTCACTGAACACAGCCTTGAAGAGGGAAAGTCAGTTGTTATTATTAATGTCTACTGTCCCAGAGCGGACAAGGAGAATAAGGAAAGAGTGGATTTCAAAATGAAGTTTTATAAACTGTTGCAAGAGAGAGCTGAATCACTTGTCAATGCAGGAAGGTACGCAAAATATAATTTCATTTGCAAGTTGGCTTTTTTTTCTGTCAGTGTCTTGAGCATTTATTTAGTTCTTATTAACCGAGCGGGAGGTCTGTATGGGAGAATCTTGACTGAGGTCACCAGTACAGACCGAACGCAGTGAGGTCTGTACCAGCGACCAAGGTCAAGATTCTCCCACACAGACTGACCTAGCTCAGTTAATAAGATGATTATTATATGGCTGCGTCTTATATGCCAATTTTTTATGTTCTTTGTACCATTTTTTTCTAGACCGGTGTAGATGCCCGTCTAGATAAGAAAATCTAGACCGCTTTCAATATTGATTTCAGCTAATCAAATTCGTGAATTCAGTAGTTCCCAGTCCTTGTGAGACACAGCCATATAATAAAATGTAGAAAAACTATGCTTTAATGTAGGTGTGGAAATTGAAGAGATTTGTGATACTTCTTGAAATGGTTCATGAGCTAAGGACTGTCATTTGATAAAGGTACATTGTATGTACACAAACTTGTATAGCCAATTTTCAATAACTATTACATCCATTTTGAAATCATGGGGTGATCCTTGTAACTGGATTGGCTCTCAACAATGCAATTTGTTCACATTTATCACTCTTTTTTGATTCCCATTTTTTCCCAGCCAATGAGAAAGCAATGCTAAAAACAAAATATTTAATCGGATATCAGTACTCATTAAGTATAGTAGCCAATCAATTTTAAAGGCAACAGTTGATAATATGACAACTTTTGTCCTAAAAACTTCTTTTTTTGTTAAAATGGATAAATTTACCTTCTTACAGTTTTTGAATAACTACAAGTTATTTGTGCTAACTAAAATCATGTATTTAGACAACTGAATTTTGCGATTTCAAAATAGATTTAACAAAGTGGTAATTGCAGAACTTTGCATTGTGCAATTTTAGTCTGAAATCATACTTGTGATTTCAAACTGAACATGCACTGCACCCTTGTTCCATTTTGAAATCATGAGTATGACTCAGACCAGCAAATTCCAGTCCACTCAGTGTAATTACCCACACCAATATCAGTTACAAGTGCCTTTATCAACTTGTATTTGACAACCAAGAAGTTGTTTCTCTTTCCTGTCAATGGAGGACAACACTTTCTTTAGAAATTAGCCTAAACATACATTAATTTTGTATATCTACAGATGTATTTATCACACTTAATTAGTCATTCAAGTTTTTACCCACCTCTTTTTTTAACTTTGCTTTCATTTATTTGTTACTGTTTTTTTTATTATGTAGGCATGTGATAGTTCTTGGTGACATTAACACAGCACATAAAATGATGGATCATTGTGATCCTGACAAAGAGGTAAATGTTTTGACCACACCTTAGGTGTAACCATTTACACAGTAATATTAGTAACCTTTGTTTTACCATAAGATTTTGTTTTATTATTGATTTATTATTTTAAAATTATTATTATTGTTGGAGATAGTTTAGTTTATTATTACCAAAAAGTAAAAATACTTTGCAGCCATAGGCTGAATTGCATACTTTTCACAATTATTTATAAATATATATATGAGACTATATTAAACTAGAAAATTTACAAAAGATTCTAAGACTTAAAATAATTAACAATTATTCCACGAGCGCGAGTGGAATAATTGTTTTATTAAAAACGCCCCCGAGAAATTATTATTTTGTAAGAAGAAACTGGATTTTTTAGCTCCCTTTTGATTTTAAGCTGACGCGTACACTTACCATATTTGTAGATTATGGTATATTGGCTGATATACCATAATGGCTAAGCCAATAAAAAGTCTTGAATTGCATTATCCAATGATCCAGTTTTTAATAATTACAATTATACAGCAATGGAATAAATATGCAGTCGATGCTTAGACCCTAGATTAGCCCTCGCACACATAGCCAGAATGAATAAAGATTTGAAACGATCAGTGCAGAGGTGCGGCATGTTAAAAATACAGTGGCGTCTTTTGTTGTACACTGAATGATGCCTATCTGGCAGCAAACTATATAATTTATGAGACGTTATTATTATTATCATTATTATTATCATCACTTTTATTTTTTCTATGAAACTTCTTAACTTAAACAACGTGTTGTCATTTTCTGTTTTTTTTTGTTTTTAATTTTTTTTTAATCATAAAATTTGGAAAAATTGTCATTAACATGTCTTTTGATAAGGTTAAGGAGTTGTCTCAAAATAAAGAAAAGTGTGTCACCTACTGTTACCTTTAATGAATTTTAGGTGTATCTGCTTGCACAATACCCTTTCACTCCCGTGAGTGACCAAATCAGAATTTCTCCTTACAACAAGGCTGTGCTCTAAGGAAAATTGAATGGAGCCCAGTCTTCTGAAGTTGTGAAATCCAGGGTGCCCATCATAATTTATGCTTTGTCTGAAAAAACTAAAATTCCTGAGTTGCCCAAGAGCAAAAGTAAGGTGCCAGGGGGCACTGGGCACTGCTAGACCATAGCCTTGTTACAATATCAGTACAATATAGAGCAGACGGGGGATGATGAGAACGGAGAAAAATCTCAATGAGGAGGTTATTAGTTGATCCAGTACCAAATTCTCTGAACAAACATAAGAATTGTAAGGAGGCTGTAAGGAGAATTACAAATGTGATCTCATGAAAGTGAAAGGGATAATGACTGAAAAGAAAGACTACATGTATGTAATCTGACAGATAAAGGTGTACTGTGTTCAGTACCATCTTTATGTTTAAGTCCTTTGATAATTTTTTGTACATTATTTCCTAATTGCTTTTATATAGGGATCATCATAATTACAACACAAGATCTAAGGAAAAAATTAATGTACGAATGACTGCCTCTTGCAGGAGAAGGGGTCTCTGAGGGTCAAATCTTGTAGCCAAGAACTGGAATAACATCGACATATCAATCCGAGAAAACTTTTAAGTTATTTTAATAGCTTAATAAATATTTTTAAAATATTTATTTATCTCTATATTTGTTAGTTATTTAAATTTTTTAGAAATTATTTTAAAAAGTAATCTTGACAAAGTTACAAGGGTCATCCGTGAGAACGTAAAATTATTTTAATTTGAGGTATTAATTTATTGTTATATAATTTACATTAGAACCTGTTTTCTTTGTTTGTACATGTTTCAGTTCTGTAAACTTTTTTATTTGCCGCAAAGACCCCCCTCTGTGAGGCACTGTTAGATTGAATTAGTTATTCCCAATTTAACTTTATTTTACTTATCAGGTAATTGGTTTACTCTTTTCTCAGGAGTTATTTGACGACCATCCTGGACGAAAGTGGTTAAATCAGTTTTTGGTAACATCTGAATTTAACGGCACCAATCTTTACTCTGACACAGGTTCCCCTCTTCAGGCACAGGGTGGGCTGTTTGTAGACACATTCCGTTGTTTTCACCCCTCCCAGCTTGACGCTTACACCAATTGGTGCACGGTAACCAGTGCGCGTCAAACCAATTACGGCACACGAATTGATTACATTTTTGCCGATAAAGAACTTGTTGATAAAGAATTCCTAGACTGTGTGATACGAGCCGATGTCGAGGGTTCAGATCACTGTCCAGTTGTCGCTACTTTGAAGACGTTTTTCCAAGCAGCAGTGAAACCTCCCTCTCTCTGCACAAAGTTTATGCCAGAATTTTCAGGAAAGCAACAGAAACTTAAATCTTACTTCTTGAAACACGGACAACAGTCGCAGAGTCAACCCGAGGCTTCTTCTATGGGCTTAAGTGCTACCCAAGAAACAAAGCCGTCTTTAAAACGTAGTTATTCTTTTGGTGATGATAAAAGCAAATCTGTAAAACGCCAGAAAGCAGCCGGAGGGAAGAACAAAGCTGAAGGACAGCCAAAGACAAATCTGTTAACTTTTTTTAAAAGATCTATAGATCCGGTTCCAGTCAACAAGAGTGTTACCAAGGTAACTAACGAAGCGTTTGATTTAGTTAAGACTACTATTTCCGAGGTTGAACATTGCGTAGGCGCGGACATCTTCTCTTCAGGCGCAAATACCTCCGTTTCATCTTCAGACAAGGCTTCAGATATTTGTGAAAACGAACCAATCTCCGTAAACCTATCGAGTCGCAAAGATTGCGCAGAAGAACGCAAAGTGGATTCGGCAGTTTGGAAAAGTATTCTTTCCGGGCCCCGTCCGCCCCCTCTTTGTAGCGGTCATAAGGAACCTTGCGTCCTAAGAACTGTTAAAATCAAAGGTCCGAATCAAGGGAGGCAGTTTCATTGTTGTGCGAGACCACAAGGACACAGCTCTAACCCTGAAGCTCGTTGTAATTTCTTTAAATGGGTAAAATAGAGTTGATTTCGGAGGTTGTGTGAATATCGTGGGGTGTTCGCTTAACAAAATGATAATATTAAACTTTCGTTTTTCCCAAAAAAAAGTATTTCTTTTAAAGAAACAAAGATCTCCAGTGAACCTCTTCGTAAGAAATCGTTTGGGAACAAACGACTGAAGGCAACATTAAAAAATTAGTTTGAAAGCAACTTTAGAACAACTCCAAAGGGGAACATGTAGATATGGTCCCATCTCCAAGCACTTTGAAAAATTTCAGACTTTGATCAAGTAACCCAAAATTATTCTTAATTGTCCACTGATCTGGAAAAATGCAAACTTGCATCCTCGTACATTGTATTTTCCTCCAATTGTTGTTTTAGCGGGGAGGGGAAGAGGTAGTTATAAGCGCGCTTCTCTTTCATACCTTCCTCCAAAAATATGAAACACGTCAAAGATCACAATCAAGCAACAACTTTATCGATTTATGTGTCTAATTTTTTGTCATTCGTGACCCTCTACTAAAGCGGAAACACTACTTATGCGAAATGATTAACCTGTGACTTCTACCCATACAGGGTTCTCAATAGATTTTTAAGTAGGAGGTGATCACTGATAAAATAGGAGGCTAGTCTAGTAAGTTCTTTATGCACCGCGTGGGGACGCTTGGCCGCCATTTTGGAACATTCGGACTCGTTACCATGTTTCGCTGTGAACGCTTGGACTCAAGTAAAATGGCGTTCATCGATCGAGTCCAGGCGCCCGTTTCTCGAAAGTCCCGGTAACTTAACGGGCTCGAAGCCATGTTTTAAAATCAAAATTTTAAAGGATAGAGAAGCAGTCTCTGACACCCAAACCAGTCCTTTTGTTTCTTTAGCTGAAAGTTTTTTGTGCCATTTTCAAAAATTTTGAAATCCCTATCTTGAAAGAAAACAGACCAGCTTTATGGGCCCGCTAAGTCACCGGGACTTTCGAGTAACGGGCCTCAGAACCGTAAGCAAGTTTCCCGGTTTTGTTTGGATCACAGTCATGCAAGAAACGGAAGAGAAATTCGGAAACAACACAAGCAAACTTGCAGAACAAAGCAAAGAAAAGCGACTTAAACACAAAGTAAGCGGCTATAAATCCCATAGTAAGCGGCGATTAATCGCCGGGTGTCGCCTTCTATTGAGAACCCTGCCCATAATATCCATACATGATCCAGCAAACAGGTAAGGAGAATACTCAAACTTATCAGGTAGAAGTTGTTACCTTGATTGAACACCAAATTCTCATAACCCATTTCCAAGGAAATGTGTAGCCAGAAAGGGGAATTAACAATCAGATCTTGGGAGTTAGAAGGTTAAACAAATTTTACCTGGTATTGTCTGTTACTGATTTCTTCATAATACATGAGAACACTTTTTAACTAAGTTTGAAAAGTAATACGGTATTGCGTTTGTTTTGCTTTACCTCGACCGGTTATTGGTCCAGAAGAATCACACCATCCTCTCGACCAATCAGAATCAAGACTAAAACGTTTTTCCGCGCCTCAAGCAGGTGCGGGTATCATTGGCCCGCTCGTACTACTTTCCTTTCCTTTGATTGGCTGTTGAGACTTGGTTCATGTTTTACGACACTCAATAAGGTACAACAGTGCTACCAATAGTAATCTGCTCAATGAGGTAATCAAATATTCAGCAAAGCCAATGAATACAAAAATACCACTGGGTAAATTCTGAGTATCCGCAATATCTTGCTTTGTCGCAAATACCTCAATATATACTGCAAAAAAGTAATGAAAAATTTAGCTAAGCCTATAATACTTCTGACGATTCCGAAGAGTTTGTAAAATATATCAGTTTAGTCTAAATTACAAAAACCTGAATCAGCAAAAATCTATGAAAATCAACGAGGTAATTTTAACACACTTCTCAGAAGGTAGAGAGAAATTCAATGAAGCCTACAGATACGAAACTGATTGCTAGGCATCCGAAATGTCTCTCAGTAGACTAAAACACGTCAGTACTTGAAACCCGACGCAATTTTCTGTTATTTCAGTTTTCTTTTCTTTCCTAATCAGCGCACAATTTACTTTCAAGGCAACAAAAATCCACTGCTCATTAAATTTGTCGAGATTGTGTTTGGTTACAAGAGATACTGGTTTGATTACTAAACCACCAGTAGCTAGGTACCGTAGGTTGTATTCAGGGGGCATTCTAACATAGTATCGATACCTAGGGTTAAGGAGTTTCATATTATCCTCCCTGTTTGCTGATTGGTATTAAATACTCTGGCAGTTAATCCCCCAGCCCACCCCTGACAAGCCAAACTTTTGTGGTTATCTTTTGAGGGCTAGGAGGAGCAGTGGATCTTGAAAGGTGGGGTGTTCAGCTATCAGCGCATTGGCGCATTTGATCATATGCGGAATTTGCGCACTACAAATATTAAACTATTATTATTATTATTATTATTATTATTACATGCGCAACAACCGACCCTTTATGTAACTAACGTTATGCCTACTAACTTCGAGAAGTATCGATAAGATAATTTATAGATATCAGTCATAAAATGTAATGACTGCTCGAAAATACTACTCTGTAAAATTATTCATTAAGTGTCATTGCAGTTTTTAAGAGTCATACCGAAATCTTTGACAAATGTAACGAAAATCTACCAAACAATGTCACTATTTCCAACACTACAGCTCTAACAAATTTTGATTGTCATGATGGCGCCAAAGCTGATGCTAGTCGTGCGTTTCTTAATTAAGAGGTAAAGAAAGTACGGCTTTTGGCACGTGTGATTGATTGTTTTCTGATCAGTAGTTATAAAAGTGGTAGTAGCTAAGAATAACAGCTGCTACGAGTGCTGAGACCTTTCCTTTAGAAATTAAGCGTGCATTCTTTGGAAATTTGATTGATATTTTTGATACGTTTGGACACTTATCTCAACGTCTCCACACTTGTTCATCTCTTTGGGTGGTTGCAAACGGCTTTGCTCGTCTGGAGCTTCGTTGACAATCATTGCCATTCCCTCGAGCTGATGCACCTCTATGTGGCAATGGAGAAACCAGTGGCCTGGATTATCGGAGACGAAATTGATAACAACGTATCCACCAGCAGGGACCATAACTGTGTCCTTTCTGATCGTATAGGAATCTAAAGAAAAGTGCATGTTGTCTTGGTTCCACTGTGGTCTGGTACATCTCTCCTTGACGCAATTTTCTTTTTTGCAGTTAACATCATCGCAGTATATATCACTGTTGTGTTTAGTAATAAAACCAGTTTTTGGGTCATATTCTGGATATCCGACGTGAACAACATGAAATGTATGGCCATGAAGGTGAATTGGATGAGCATTGTGAAAAGCACCAACCGCTGAAAACACGAGCTGAATGGTTTCCTGATATGGAATGGTAATCACTTGTACACACGAGCATTCAGGCGTTGATGGATTGCAGTCGGCCTTCAGGTCACAAATATTGTCCTTTTTGTGAAACTCTTCAGTTTGGGTTTGAGGAGGAAAGGAGGGAAGAATGAAATTGCGCCCATTCACTGCACTAGTTTGAGAGTCACCCTCGAAATTGAAGTTTATGAAATGTCGACAATTTGGACATTCCTGGGGGGTTTTAGGGTTTGCGTTGGGAAGTTCTGCAGGTGGAGTTGGCTCAAGTAAGCGTAGTTGTTGAACATTAATACAGGTAATATAATAAAGTGTATGGAATTTCTCAAATGGGCAGTTCACTGCTTTACATGGATCGTAGGCGGAGCACTGTTGGGCAGGAGATACGGTTTTTATTTCTTCATATTTTGTAGACGGCACGTTAACGTTCGGATCAGCCGAGTCTCCATCGCGTTCGTAATGCAAAATAGCTTCTGCTACATGTCCAAGAGACTTGTATGGTGGCCCTTGGCCATTTTGATCAATCTCCAGAGTGTCTGCACGCATCCAGTAGTCTTTTCTTGAGTTTGTTGCCTCCAGTAGAAAGTCGAACCTCTCTCCAGAATGGATGATGATGTAATCAACGTCTTCCACAGGCTGAATCCAGTAGCCGTCAGTGCCCACCACAGTCAGCTTGTGACCAGCAATGGAGAATTTGTAAGCGTACAGATTTTGGGCTCCAATAAGCCGGAAGCGATATGTCTTCCCGGCTTGAACAGTAAATATACTCAGTCTTGTTTTGATGTATGGAACATCATCATGCCTGCCTTTGCCATTTATAATTCCAGAAAAATACGGGACAGGTCCGACCTCTCCTTCTTCATAGCTGCGTGTGGAATTATACCGTCGCTGTAAATCAGCTTTAGTTGGCACCTTGCCAAACGGCTTGCCTGGATAAAAGCCCAAGCTAGTGTGAATCTGTGTGAACAGGTCCAAGGATGCCTCATGTTGCCAGTCGAGAAGCGTTAAGGTGTGCTGATCTGGAAGGTCTACAAATGCACGGTGCCTATTGAGTTTTTCTCGGATCTGTATCATTTTCTCAGGACTTTCTTTTACTACAAGTCCACCAAAGAAGCCATCTGTTCTTTGAGCGCCACTGTGAGAGTGGTACCAAAATGTGCCAGCAGGTTCAGCTTTGTAAACGTATGTAAAGGTAGATGAGGGTCCTATCTGGCATTGAGTCACTTGCCCCACACCATCCATCCAAGGTGTTCCTTTCTGATGCATCCCATGCCAGTGAATTGAAATACCTTCAGTGGTGAGATTATTGTGAACATGAACCTCAACCATTTGCCCTTCGTGGACTATCAAGGTAGGTCCAGGAATTAGTCCATTGACAGCTATTACTAAACGGTACGTTTTACCGTCAACAAACTGGGGATTAGTGCACTTAGCGTTGTCCTGTGTTGAACATGTTCTGCCATTCTGGAGCGGCGTAGGTAAACCAACGTCACCGAAATAATAAATCACTCCCTGGGATCCTCGCATGGCTACTCCTGTGGGTTCATCCACTGATAACTTTTGATAGCTGGTGAAGGTTCGAATTTCATCAATTTCAAGGTTAAATTTACAAACTTGTGCGTGCGCCAAGCATTCGCACGTTGGATTTCCGTATTCACAGTTAAGAGTCTCTTGATGTACCCAATTTAGTTTGATTTCATTCGAATGGTGCCCTCCAAGCCACTTGTTTAGGTTTGGATCACTTGTCAGATCCATGTACTGCTCCACACCAGTTTTGACAGAGGTGCCAATGGATGATATGTACCAATCGTCTCTTGGGTTACTACTAGCTTTTAAGTGGATTTCCTTAATATCAGATATCGACACGCACCTTGTAGTTCCAAACCGGCTGGCGAAGTTCAGCTCTCGCATGTAGGTTTGCCCTTTTTCCATAGGTCCTTCAAGTTCGGCCTGAAATTTTTTGTTGTTTGATAAAGTGAGAACTATCCAGTGGCTTTTATGCTTAATGTACGAATGTGACGAATCAGCGCCATCCATTGTTCCCGTCGTTGCTTCCACTCGCATGTACGTGATACAGGTTCCTGCGACAGCATTGGTAAGGAGGAACTTTTTGGCATTGTATGGATAATAGTATTCTTCATCGTTGTCCACCCACATACTAAAGCCTGGATCAGTGGTCAGCTCAGAGTAGATTTTGTTCCATCCTGCGGTGTAGATGTCGATAGATGCAACGTACCATCCATCCCCTCCACGAGCCTCGAGATAAACTTTGTCTATGTCTCCACGGGTGCAACTGAGTTTCGGTGTGAAATCAGTTTTGGCGTTCATTTCTATTGAGTATCGATGACCTGGATACTTTTTGTATCTTAGCTCTGCACGATACTCCCCGCCATTCTTTAGAACGATCGACAGCTGTGGATTTGCACCATACCGAGGACTTTGACCTTCACCGCGACGTAATGGATCATTGTAACCAGTCTTTGCCTTAATCTTTACAAATTCAATATGCCCTTTGAAAAAAGAATATGCGAAAGGTATTTGATTGCGTGGTTAAACAAGCAAGAACATAGTGTTTTTTTTTAATTAGATATCATGCAAATGTTGGCATTTCGAAAGGAATATCGAAGGCCTAAATACTGGAAATGAATTCAGATTTTAAAGGATGGAGGGGGATAAGTTTGTAAAGAAACTGTGTTCGTGGGTCAGTGGGGGTGGGGGGTGGGGGGGGCTCTGCCGTGTTGATTTGGTTTTAAAAAATGAGTTGATAATGTAAATTGACTGCCATAAGCAGTCTCTAAACCTCACGTTTCTAGCGTTAGCCCTTTCTCTGAGTGAATGAGAGTCTCAATTATTCAAACTCTGTCGTGACATCATCAAATGCATGCATGATCCCTGTCGACGATTCACGTTGCGACTTTTAGCTTTCTGGCGAAAGAAATTCGGGAACACCTCTCATCCTATCTGTTTCTTTCCCAGTTCAGCACTCATTTCTTTTAAAGAATGAAACCTAGGCTTCTCTGCCACAGTTCTTACGTCTATCTCCTTGCCCAACTTACCATACCCGTAGTGGGTTCTTTAAATTTACAGAAAAAATATGTATAAAATATGTAAAAAATATGTAATACAAAAATAAATGAAATATGTATGAAAAGTACAAAAATAAAATAAAATATGTATAAAATATGTAGTACCTCCAAGGTTAGGTATGCCATGTCACAAGTAACGGACCAGAACAAGAAGAATTTAGATAATATATATAATTTCTAATATATGAAATAATTGCTTTACCTTGCTCATTGAACCTTATATGATCTTCAGGAATGTTTTTTGGTTCCTCTAAAAACTCTCCCATTGTCTCTAAGGAGGAAAAGAAAATAACAAAAGTTAGTGTTGTGGCGAATTTCTTGATTTTCATTCATATTTTTTATGCTTTTCAAACCAATCAATTTTCGCGAATCGTTTTGGTTTATTCACTTTTGAGCAATCTCTAATATCCCAGAAAGAGGCAGGAGGTAACCCACTATCTACTTAATGTGTTTAGTTACCTATTTGCGATATTTAGGCAGGCTAGACCAGGTCAGCTTTTAAAGCTGGTTTAAATGAAATAAGTGGTATATGAAAAACCAATAAGAGGCCAGACCCTGTAACCGGGAGATACGTTTCCTACTCTCTGCGAGAAGTACGTGGGTTCTTTGACGTCCCCAGCTAACTAATACAGAGAAAATGCAGGAGATCGACCTACGGTTTATCATCTCTATCAGAGAAGACTATAGCATGTTTAACCATTTTGTGGATGTCGTAGTATATGCATTTATTTTCAGATCCTGAGTGATGATCCGGTGTAAATATTGCTAAAAAATCTCACCTTTTTCAGGAGTCTGGGAATCTTTTTCGGGAAATACCCTTGAACTCTCGAAAATTTGTTTGGTTTCATCTAAGTAAAGAAAAAGGTATGTATAAGAATCTTCATCAAAGACAGAATCCAAAGACAACTAGTAGCGAAAGTAGTTGGAGTTGGCGCGCCTCCAGCACGCCTTCCCTTAGTAGGAGGTCGACAAACCTTAACTCAAAATAGTAAAGATTCGTGTAATTTATCTCTAATAAGTTACATGAAAGTCCCCAAACAATCTTGTCAAATGCTGCAAGAAATAAGGGACTCGCCAGGTAGCACTGAAGTGGGGAGAGATGAATGAGAGTTGTAGAAAAAATAAGAGTTGTATTAAATATTCAAACAGTAATAGGGCACGCCATGACTTTTGCCACTTCTAAGTTTCCTTTCGTAAAGCAAACCTTGTTGTGGTATTTATGCTACTGTGTCTTATTAGCTTTAATGATAAAGTGCACAGTGTTAATCGGTCATTTGTACATTACACCAACTATGGAAGCAGCGGTGTTCTGGTAGATGTCATACAGGACTTTCGAGCCGATGGTCGGAACACAGCGGTCAAACGTCTACGCATGAGCAAATTGTTGTAATGACTAGGTAGCGTGTATTTAGGCTGTTAGTATTGAGTTGACTCACACGAGTTACAAACAACCACACAAAAAAGTAATTCACGGTGTTTTCAAAGCGTAAGTCTTAGTAAAGCTCAAAACAGAATGTTAAGTCCACAGGATACCCATTGTGTTTGAAAAGTTTCGAGTTTTCCTTTTCCTGGATTTCTTTGAACGCTTCGATTCTCTTTCGTTAATTTTACGAGCCAGCGGTGACTTCATTATGTTTTCCTTTGGAATTTTTACGCCAAAAATCGGCGTACAGCGGGCCAGAATTTATCCACTCTTATATTTGCGATGCTTGACTGCTGTTTTGATAGACGGTGGCTCGAGTCCTGATGATTGCCTCAATATTGAGAAAAACGGCAAGAAGACAGCATGACACAAAATAGTCCTTTTAGAATCTTGTCAAAACTTTGATCTGCAGCAAGTAGGTTGGACTGCTTTTTTCTTTACAATTTTCCTTTAAGCTTATTGTAGCCATTCGCAAGTTATCTTTTATCATCAGCGTTACTATTGGCAACTCACCAGAGGGAAGCGCTCTGATTTCTTTGTAAAAGATGGGAGGCTACTCTAAAACTCACTTGCTCTAGTTTCTTGGAAAAAGATATGCGTCTGCTCCAAAACTCACCTGCTCTAGTTTCTTGGAAAAAGATGTGAGGTTACTCTCTGTTTACAAAATATCATCTCAATTACTGTACTTACCGCCATCACGAAATTGGAAACTCTGTGCGGGGAATGCCTTTGAATTTTCGAAATCATCTTTAGGTTTGTCTGAGGAGAAAAAAAATGGTGCAAGGTCAAAAATAGTCGCTTTGGAATCTTACGAAAATATGGATCTGCATGCAATAGATTGGAATTACTTTTTTGCAATTTTGTAGTTGTTTTTCTTTAACTTTGTTTTGCTTAGTAGTTCGCGTACAGGATGTATTTCGCGTTAAAAATGTTTTTGCCGTTCTAGCGGCTCAACTCGCTTTTAACTTGTGGAACGGGAAGCGTTAAATCATATTTCTGTGGACAGTCGGACACGCAAGTAAGTCACTCGCTCTCAGTTCTAGACACTATAGTAATTAGTCGTCCTAAACCCACCCAAGCTTGACGCCATCATCTCGAAAAATTAACCGCGTAAAAACGATAGTTTCTTCATAACAATTTTGCTTCAAATGCCACCTTTCGAATGAACACAAAAATATTGAGTTAAAGTACAGACCCAATACTGTGAATCGCTTCGATTGTAGACGATCTGGTGTTAAATCAAGAACCATGGGAACAGTTAAAGTTTATCGGCTGATTGATTAAATTGGACTAGATGCTATTGAATTGTTAACTCAAGTTTCCTTGGAATTCGTTGTATAATAAATAGACGATTTTAAATGCAAGGTCCGAGTGATTAGTGTGCGTAGCTGGCGGTTTTGTTGGGAAGGACTTGAGAAACAAAAAAACGAAAAAAAGGTCTCATCTTTGCAAGCGCAGGTTACATAAATGCAACGCCATGTGCAGTTCAAACCAACATAAGGACCTGATTTTATCAGCCGGGCTGATGAAAAATCAACTTAATGATTGCATGACAACCGAGCTGACTGGTTAGCAGGATTCCGGAAGCAATTTTCGTACCTACTCTAGTTTCTTTGAAAAATATGAGACCTCTCTGTCTAGAAAATGTCTTCTTTATTGATGTCCTTACCTCTATCACGAAATTGAAAGTTATGCCCGGGAAGTTCATGTACAGTTTCTATATCTTCCATGAGTTTTTCTGAGGAGAAAACAGTTCAAATTTATTTGCACATCTAGCCAGAGAAAAATTACCTACACAATTAACAAAAAATTACAAACAGCCGGGTGTCAACAACTGCAAAAGCATCTTTCAATTACTACTAGTTCAAGTAAAAACAGGGAAGGGCGAAAAATATTGTAAGTAAGTAACTTTATCATGTGATCTGTGTGGTCCTGGAAGCTTCCAATTTACGACGATAGCTTACTCCGGAAAGAGCTATAAGCTAACACCAGCTAAGTAGCTAGGCAACCTTAATAATCCTATCAATGCATGTGCGTCCATTATCGAACCAGACTGTCACTCCTTTTCAAAAGGTATTGTGTGCGCACTTACCCATCTCTTCCTCTACATTTTCCACCTTTCCATCGTCGTAATCCTTTTCCTCAGGGTCACGAGGGAAATCTTTAAGAAATAAAGTGAGTCCAGGGTTAAATTCAAAGCTTTTTCACTTTCATAAGAGGACGAGTTGTCTTATAACATATCGCGGGCGCAAGTCCTAACTAATTTCTAGGCAGCTACTATGGTAAAAGTATCTTTTTACAATAATTGTAGGAATTCTCACGCACGCATTGGTAGAGAGTCATTATCATTTAAGGTTACGGACGCAGACAATAAAATTTGAGTAACGCACAACAATCCTCGACATGTCGGCGAAAAAATTTCTCCCGAAAAAAAAAATTGGAAATTTCTCAAATTTGAACAGCGAGGAAGATCCGAATTTTAAGATCGGCATGATCGAACAAATTTTTGAGGTGAAAGTAGAGCGAAGGAAAAATCTTTAGTTGAAGAAAGCTGGTTTTCGGTTCGCAAAGTTGAAAGAAGAAGACCTTGTAGAAATACTTGCCGATGCCGAAGCACTGAAAAAGGCATTAATAAATAAAAATAAAATGTAATCTTATTATGTAGTAAATAAAAATAAAATGTAATTTTTTCTATTACAAAAATTGTTTCATCTTTAAAATGTAAGTGGACGGTAAAAACAATTCAGGGTAACAAAATCTATTGCCTCCACTACTTACTAGTATTTCATTTTAGAAGTCCGCATTACATGTCATAACACAAAGTAAAATTACAACAACAGCACAAACAACAATGCAACGATCGATCATGTCACTTGCGGGTGGCTTTTCGAAAACTTGAGCGCATTAGCTGCAAAAACATTTCAATGTTATTGTAAAAAAACAAGTTAACCGCAACTTTCCAGTGTCTGTGACCTTGTTGATCATAGAAATGACGCCAACGATTGCGACTCGTGGTTTCACCCTGACGTCAAGGTTATAGAGAATGGAAGACTGTGATAAGTTTTTCAAATGGATGCACTTCAGTGGAAAGTTTTGAGAGCACTCAAGAAGCCACAGTGGCTCTCTGCTACGCCTCGAGCACTGTCAAGCAACTCTTGAGCTCAATTAAGCCGTCGTGCTTCTGCCTTGTCGAACTTAATGCAGAAATTAAGTTCGACAAAAGCAGGACAGAAGCACGGTGTCTGAATTAAACTTTTTCGTCAAGTTCGGTAAGCAATTAAGTTGGACAAGCTCGCCGTGCCACACGACTCTGGTGCGACAGCGATTCAAACGCCGTGCTTCCGCCGAGCCAAACAAAATTAATAAATTATGTTAATTTATTTTGGCGGGATGACGTTCACGCGGGAAGTTACGAGAATGAATTATTATTTCGCTACAATAAATCCTGAATTTTGCACGACTTTAGCCCGATGTCTCAATCAGAGTCGTGTTCCTGCCATGCTAAAGTGGAACCTAATTGCAGTTAAGTTCAGCGCGACAGAGTGCGACGTCTGAATTAGGCTTTATGCTTCTCTCGCGCTTCAAACTTCCGCCTGCATGCATAACTCGATATACGTACCAATTCTTTAACTTTTGCCAGCTTTTTCGATCTATGTATGTAGTAAATTAGCTAACTGGGGCTAACAAGTGAGAAAAGTAAGCCAGATCAGACCGTGTGGACTTGTTGCCACACGTCACGAAAAGGGGCAAAATAAATTTCTTTGTGTTTTTCGTCGGTAGAATATTGTTTAATGAATTTCAGCGACAAGCTGATGTTGTGTCTCCAGGAAAATGAAATCCTTTTTCCTTGTTACAATAAGGAGCTACAGTATCAGTTCATGTACATTATGACATTCTGAAATCTTTAATTCATGGAAAGAATGGCTGCAAAAGAAGATTGGAAGCCATTATCGGGACTTGTTTGTGTATTTGTAAATTCAGTTGGTCAGGGAAAGTTTACATTTATCGGAGAATTTCAAAACCTATGACCGTGGCAACTATGGAGAACTGATGTTGCGCCTTAGGTTTGGAAGGATAAGCGAAATTAACAATGTATTGACTGAAATAATTTTAATAAGCTTACACATATATCGTCCCGTGTATTCGTGTTCTCCTTGATCTGCTTGTGGCTCAAAGAAATCAGCTGTAAAGAAAATAATAATTTGATTAACTTTGCTCCATGATAATTTGAAACACGAGCTTTGAATTGCAAATTGTGTTTTTGCAATAACCAGAGCCCCTCACATTCACAAGAATCTTGTTTTGAATTACAGATGAATCAAGCCCCAGTTTTGCGGTTTGTTTATTTTGTGGAGGCCGTTTTGAATACACTCGTGCAGAAGTCCGGAGCGAGTTGTGCGAGGGTCTGGGACTATTGGAAGACTTAAACAATAACGACAATTTCGAGCGTTTGCCGAGAAGTTTAGCACAAAGCAGTTTCCGAAGATTTCTCGCAACCAGAGTTTCGTAAAACCCGTTTTTTTTTCGCTCGTACAACTGTTGTTAAAATGATCACCCCAAATACGTACACACTACTCAAGTTAAGTTTATTAGAAGAGAGAACATCCTGTGTCATACAAACTCAGGCAACAAAACAATTGTACGTTAAATTACAAATCGATAAATGAATGAGCAAATGAAAAAATATTTACCTGTTACATAGCATTCCATGACACCCAGAGCGACGACAGCAAACGGCAAAATTGCAGAGCTCTTCATTTTTTAGCTCCGTTTTGCTGTCTTGGATTGTTAAAATTAATAAAAACAGGAAAAGATTTGACTGGATAACACACTAGAGTTCAGATTCAATAAACATCAGGCAAACGTTAGTAGCGTTAAGTACTCATTTCAGCTGACCTCTAGACACCACTCAATAGTTTTATTTCTTGTCAAAACAAGGGAGCCAATAGAAGAATCCGTACAAAATAGGAGGGAAATTTCGATCCATTTAACGGATTTTCCGACAGGTAGTAATACAGTATTGCCTTTTCCAACACACGTATCGTAGGTCTTAATAGGTCGAGTTAACTGTTAGCCTGAAAACGCCAAAATGTTTAGACGTTAGGTGTAAATATCATCATTAGCCTTTAGGTGTAAATATTGACAAATTTAACCGTTTGTCGCCGAGAAAGAAAGTTTTCCATTAAAACTTTTCTTCTAAAAGCCATCACCCAATCTAGAGCGTCTATACAATCTTGTTTAACCAAACTTCACGAACATATGGATTGGGGAATGGCACTTCATTCAAAACCAACCGCGCGTAAAACAATTTTATAACGAGCCACCCCTATTACCATGTTGCGAAAGGAAGTCACAAAAGATATTCTTGTCAGACCTAAAATTAGCGAGCATGAGCCGCCTTAAAGATACATTTCAGCTGACCTTTAGACACCATAGCATCAAAAAACCTTGTCACCTTATTTGCTCAATATTTTAAATCTTATTGTGCCAAGGAGGGGTCCAATAGAAGAATCCGTGCAAAATAGGAGGGAAATTTCGATCCACTTAACGGTTTTCGGAGATATAACGACCCGAACAGAAGCCAAACCTCTGTCTGCCCCTTGAGAGTTCTAGCAGCAACTGACGAGATTCAGTAAGAATCGAAACAGCAATCTTGTCTAAATATAAACATCAATGCTCAAATGGCAGCAGTTATCCTCACAGCCGACATCAGAATCAGAAAGTATAAGCTTGGATACAAAACCGCAAAAAACGCAATTTCAATAGGGAATTGAGCTTTGACTTGCCAACGCGTCACAAATAGTTGGAATTCTCCGTATCACTAACCAGGTTTAAAGAAAGGCTTCATCAAAGGAGAAGCGCTAAGCTTAAGAACAAATTCGTCACGCTCCATGTTTAATAAAAACGTACAGAGTTTCAAAATATGCTTTAAGAACAGAGGGTAGCCAGATGAATTTGGAGTTATATATCGCTAAAGTTAAATTATTCGAGAGGTGAAGGTCACCAAAAAAAAAAAAAATACAGAAAACCCAGAAGTAATTACAGTATTGCCTTTTGTAACACAATATCGAAGGTCTTAATGATTAATCGTTAGCCATAAAGCGCCAAAATGTTTAGCCGTTGGGCATAAATATTGGCAAATTTAACTGTTTGTCGTAAAGAAAGTTCACCATTAAAACTTCCCTTCTGACAGCAATCACTCAATTATTATTAATACCATCATGGTTAACCAAACCTCAAGAACATAATGAACCACTTGCTCAATATTTTAGATCATATTCTCAAAAGAAAGGGGTCCAATAGAGGAATCCATAGAAAACAGGAGGGAAATTTCGATCCACCAAACGGTTTTCGGAGATATAAAAACCTGAACACAAGCCAAACCTCTGTCTGCCCCTGTTATTGTCAAAACATGGGAGCCAATAGAGGAACCCGTACAAAAAAAGGGGGAAATTTCGATCCATCTAACGGTTTTCGGAGAGAAAAAACTTGAACACTAGCCAAAACTCTGTCTGCACCTTAAGAATTCTAGCGGCAACAGACGAGATTCAGAACGAATCGAAACAGCAATCTTGTCTAAGCATCTATGCACAAATAACAGCTCTTCTATTCGGGAGGTAAAAGTCACTTAAAAATGATAAAGATAGCACACAGAAGTAAATAAAAAATTGTCTTGTGTAACACGATTTCGAAGGCATTAATGGGGTTAACCGTTACCCGAACAACGCCAAAATATTTAGCCGTTAGGCGTAAATGTCAACAAATTATAATTGTCTGTCGTAAAAAAAGTTAACCGTAAAAACTTTTCTTCTAAAAGTAACAGAGATAAATTTACCGTTAGCCGTAAAAGCCATCACCCCATTCAATCATCGATATCGTCTTGGTTAACCAAACCCCAAGAACATGATGGAGAAATGGCGCCTTATTCAAAACCAACCGCGCATAAAAGAATTATTTAACGAGCCTCCCCTGTCACGTTTACGGATACGAACTCTAATCTTTTTTACTTATGTAACTCTTCCGTTTTTAGCACAAAGACACTAAGAAACTCTCAATGACTTTCTATTTAATTTGTTAGCGCGCTTTGTTTGATTTCTGTTCNTTTCTGGTCAAGGCTAAAATTTGATTCCAGGAGATTTCAAATCACTTTCCAATGCCAGGAGTCACTAAGGCCCGACAACAACTTTTAACTTATCATTCAATGTTTTTATGGACAAGGCCCGTGGGCTTCGCGTCAGAAAAAACGCACCCAGAAAATTATTCCTATTACCAGCTTAGCACATCAGACATTAAAAGGTAACACGAACCCAGAAAACTCTCCAGCACACAAAACTCTGTGATGTTCACTAACATAATAGACTGTAGATTCAACAGACATCAGGCAAGCATTAGCAACCTTGATGATACATTTCAGGTGACCTTTGGTCACATGATCGAAAAATACCCGCCAACCCATTTGCTCAATAATTTAACTCTTATTGTCCAAACAAGGGAACCAATAGAGGAATCCGTACAAATAGGAGGGAAATTTCGATCCACATAGCGGTTTCGGAGAGATAAAAACTCAAATACAAGGGAAACATTTCTCTGCTCCAAGACAACCTCAAAACGGCAATCTTGTTTAAGAATCCATGCGAAGATGGCAGCAGTTACCCTCACAGCCGATATCAGAATCAGAGAGTATATTCTTCAACACAAAGGTTTACAAAGGCGAGAGATTTAAGAGGGAATTAATCGAGCTTTGACGTGCAAACACATTACAAATAGACAGAAATATTACAATATGCCAATCTTTATTCGTATCATTAATCAGACTTAAAGAAAGGTATCTCAAAGAGGAAGCACTACGCCTATTTTGTACGCCTATTTATTTATTTTGTAGTGTCCCCATTTAGTGGTTATGTACTGCTATTTTAGTCTGACACTTAAATAAAGGTATTCATTCATTCCTCCTAATTATAGATCGGTGCGACAAATTTGTCCCGCTCCACGTTTAAAAATACGCTAAACCCTTTCATTGCCAAGATCTCATTGGTAATTCTCCTTATCGGGTTGAAAGGGTTGAAGAATAGAGGGTACCCAGCTGGAATTGGAGTTCTATATCTCCATCTGATGTTATTTTATTCGGGGGAAAAGATCGGTCAAAACCAAAAAAAAAAAAACACACACACGAGAAAATATCGTATTTTGTTTAGTTCCTATTAACCGAGAAGGAGGTCTGTATGAGAGAATCTTGACCGAGGTCGCCAGTGCACTGAGACCTAACGCAGTGAGGTCTTTACCAGCAACCAAGATCAAGATTCTCCCATACAGACCGACCTAGCTCGGTTAATAAGATGTTTATTATATGGCTGTGTCTTATATGCCAATTTTTTATATTTTTTGTACCTTTTTTTTCTAGACCGGTCTAGATGCCGGTCTAGATGGCAAAATCTAGACCGCTTTCAATATTGATTTCAGCCAATCAAATTCGTGAATTCGGTAGTTTTCAGCCCTTGTCAGACTCAGCCATATAATAAAACGCATTATCGAAGATGTCCACTGGTTTAAACGTCAGCAGCAAAACGGCAAAAAAATTGATTAGCCGTTAGGTGTAAATACTGACAAATTTTATCCGTAAAATAAAGAAAAAATTATGGAGTAGTTAATTCATTTAAGGACCCCAAAGTGTGGAACTCAATAAGTGAAAATTTGAAAACCTTATCAATCTCAAACTTCAAGGAGTCAGTAAAATGCGATCTAGTTAAAGACTTAGCTACTTATGAACTTATTAGCAACTTAGGTACTTATTAGCAACTTATGTACTTATTAGCAGTTTATTGTTTTCCAATTTACTGTAATCTAGTCTCCCATTAATTTCCGTAACCTTTTTAAGTACTTCTTTATTTTGTAGTTTATAATTATATAGCTGTTACTAGTTGCCATAGACATTGTGCTCTTCTTATATTAGTGTTTAGTATTCATAAATAACTCGAACTATTTTAGACTTCCTTCACATCTTATAAATTTCGTTTCTTTTTTCTTTTTTCGTGTGTGTGTGTGTGTATGTGTGTGTGTGTGTGTATGTGTATGTGTGTGTGTATGTGTACGTGTGTGTGTATGTGTGTGTGTGTATATGTGTATTTCTGTGTGTGTGTGTGTGTGTATGTGTGTGTGCATTTTGTGCTTCAATCTTCTTGCTGACCTGTATTTTCATTTAATGCTGATGTTAACTAGCTGCCTGGCTCCTCTAGCCCCTATTGTTATTCCAGGCTGCTAGTACTCCAATTTTATTTCTAAAATAATAATTTCCTTCAATTTTGTAACTTTTTTGCTTAGAGCAAGTATGAATACGAGTACAAATAAAGATTATCCGTTATCCGTAGGTCGTAAAAACTAAATGGTACCGGAGAGAAATTAACCATTAGCCGTAAATTAAAGCCATCACTCCTTTCCAACTTAAAACGTAGTGCTTCTTGTGCTGATGATAGAAGAGCAAATATGTAAAACGCTAGAAACCTTCCAGAGGGAAGAAGAGAGCTGAGGGACAGCCGAAGACAAATCTGTTTAGTTTTTGAAAAGACCACAGACCGGTTTACAGTCAACAAGAGTGTTGCCAGGTAACCAAAGAAGCATTTGATTTAGTTAAGACTACTCCTTCCGAGGTTGAACAGTGCGCAGGCGCGGACAACGATTCTTCAGGTTCAAATACCTCCGTTTTATCTTCAGACATGCCTTAAAAAAATTGTGAAAACGAAACGATCTTCGAAAACGCATTAGATGGCAAAGATTGCGCGGGGAAACGTAAAGTGGATTCCGGATAAGTCTTTTCTCTGGGCCCCGTCCACCCTTTGTTTCGATCATAAGGAACTACGCGTCCTAAGAACAGTGAAAATAAAAGGTCCATATCGTGGGAGACAGTTTCATTGTTGTGAAATAGAGTTGATTTCGTAGGCTGTGTGAATATCATGAGGTGTTCCCACAAGAACATCAAATCTATAAACTTTCATTTTCCAAAAGAGATAAAACTTATGATTCCTCTTGATCTCTGACGAACCTGTTTTTAAGTAATCGTTTGGGAACACTAAAGAATTAAAGAAAACATCAAATAAGCATTTTGAAAGCAATTTTATCAATCATCTCCAGTGGGGAAGATGTGGTTGTTTTAGATTTTGCTTTAAACTGAAAAAAATACAGACTTTCACCCTCCTATTTTCCTCCAATTTTTTTAAGGGAGGGGGGGGGATTAATTGCGAGTGCGCTTTTCTTTCATACCTTCCCCCACACAGATGAAACATGT